TTTGTGTATGATGGTGGCTACATACACTTTGTGTATGACGGTGGCTACATACACTTTGTGTATGATGGTGGCTACGCACACTTTGTGTATGATGGCGACACACACTTTGTGTATGATGATGGCAACACACACTTTGTCACAATGTGTATGATGGTGGCTACATACACTTTGTGTATGATGGTGGCTACGCACACTTTGTGTATGATGGCGACACACACTTTGTGTATGATGATGGCAACACACACTTTGTCACAATGTGTATGATGGTGGCTACATACACTTTGTGTATGACGGTGGCTACGCATTGATCTAACCAGCAGTAAACACAAGTCGGTTGCCAACAAAATGGTCCGGCCATAGCATGACCAGGCGGACCGGTTGCGCCGGGACTGTAATGAGCATCATCACACAAGGTTTTAAAAGAGCTTTATGCAGAGCTGCTATCACAGTGTGTACGGTAGCAGTGGACTCGACCTGCACAATCACGTACTGTAAATCCCTCAAGTTCAATCCCGTTTTGCAATTTTAAAAGTGAGTTTGAGCCTAAGTTCTGCCAAAATCAGATTTTGAAAGCCAGCGGGCCAATTTTTTTTCACGGTTCGCGTCAGACTCGGCTAGAGGCCGAGTTTTCCGCATCCGTAGGAACGCCACCACCCTTCAAGGATCAAGGCGCAGATGCAGCTCCTAAAGCGGTGGGAGGTGAGTAGATCAGCTCACCAGCAAGTGGTCAAAGACCGAAAATCCCATTCACTGCATCCATGTTTTCCTCGTGCCAGGCCACGAGTTCCCAGCGGGGCAATGTAAATCTTAATCAATGCACCGTACGTTATCCATGGATAGACAATGCTAAGGACATCACATGCAGCACCTAATGTTTTCTGAAATTAAGAGTATGCAGCGCTGGTTGGCTGGCACACGTACCAGTTCCTGTGGCGGCGAGGGCAGACCGTGGTCGCTGCCGGGCGTCTGGTGGTCGTGGCGACCGGGAGACCTATGATTGCTATGACGACGATGGTGTTGGTGGTGATTGCCTGCAGCTTGACTGGCGTCACGGTGTAACAGTACCACAGTGGTCACAGCAAACACATGCACAAACACACACAAACACATGCACAAACACATGCACAAACACATGCACAAACACACACACGACAAAATATATAACATGATGTCATTTGTATACGCAGTGATGTCATTTGTATACACAATGATGTCATTTGTATACGCATTGATGTCATTGGCATGCACACTGTCATCTGCATGACTCTACAATAGGCTCTGTAGAGCAGGGGAAGTCCCTAAAACAGAGTACTAGTAACCCCCAAGACACGGCTGCAAAACCATGATATTATTATGTGCACAGGTAACTCACTCAGACACAGCGCTGCCGGAAGGATGTCCATGAGCGGCGTTGACACCAGCTGCTGCTGCTGCGTGTGGACGGCCGGGAACGGGTTTCCGTGGCGACAATGGAGATTCCTGAGGAGAGCACGTAGAACACACACACAGAGAAATGAGAAAGAGAGAGAGAGAGAGATGCAAGGGTGTGTGTGGGGGGGGGGGGGGGGGGGGGAGGGGGATGGAGTAATCCAAATTCCGCTCAAGGCAAAAAAGGAGAAAAATGTTACGAGTTATATAACTAACCAGATAATAATACAGTCAGCGAGCGCGACAAAATGGCACAAAACTGACAAGGAGTTCTGAGACATTCAGCGACCTGACACACGTAACATTTTTTCCTTCTCCTTTTTTACCATAATTAAATTGGCTCACCATCCGAGTTCAACTTTCCACTCAAGGTCATAATAATTATTGGAAGCAGTCAGCACTCCAAGCGGATGAGCTTCGTACCTTGATATTGACACATCGTGACATGGAATGGAAATTCAGGTTTGTCCCTCTAACAACACCATGAGTATGTCCGTTGGTATGGAACAACCTCTGACAACTTCTTCTCCTTGGTTTTCCCTACTGAGTTATTCCTAGTTCTCCTTGGTTCCATGGCTCTCCAAGGGTACTACATGTATACCCTGATTTTATCTGATTCTACCTGGCACTCCCTGGCTCTCCCAGGTTCAAACTGCAAAGAGAGCCGCACACACATGCACACACGCACGCACACACCCACGCGTACACACACACACACACGCTGTCTGAGCTGCGCACCTTCGACTCGTCGTGCAGTTGCCGTGCCAACCACTCAGAGTTGGTATGTGCCTGACCGTCAGTGGGTGAGGGTGAGCGACCACGGTGTCGTGACTGCCCGCCGTATCTGTGACATGAACACACAGACACATGCACACACAGATGTGCAGACGCATGCACACGGATACACACACATAATTTTGCACACACGTTCATTCACGTGGTCGCCACGTACCATAGTCGCTCTAAGGGCCTGGTCAGACTGTGGCAACTTTCCAGTGCCTGACGAAAAAAGAAAAGTGTCCAGAATTAGAATCGCGATCACACTGCATATGTGGGGAGAATGAAAATTCAAAATTCATTTCGAGCGTCAAGTGGTAATCTCCACGAACGACGTCAAATTCCTTCACCTTGGGGATCGCCAACACCTTCAGTGCAATCCTTGCAACCATCCTTATGAGTTTTGTCGTTGTCCGTGGCCAATTAGCTCCTCGATATCGAGACGAAAAAATTAGTGAATATCAGCGTCAATGGCGTATCAGCGTCAACTCCTGTTTGGAGCGGAAAAGCGTGGTCCGTTCTTGCTCTTTTTTTTGGAGCATCAACTCTCGATTTTGCCGCTCTGGCGGTATGTTACTATGGAGGTTCATATTATAATCCGAGGATTATTTCGATTTTGCCGCAGTCTGACCAGGCCCTAACGTGCATAGAACAAAGAACAGTGGTTGCAAACAAAATTTCGGTTTGCGCGAGACTCTGCTGAAGGCCGAGTTTTACGCCTCGTAGGAACGTCACCACCCTCTAGGAACGCCACCACCCTCTAGGATGCATCGTAGGAACGTCACCACCCTCTAGGAACGTCACCACCCTCTAGGATCCAGATGCAGTGGGTGGGGGTCACAAGACGCATGACTACACTTTTTCGTTTCGTGAAAATTATCGAAAATGCCGGATGGCCCCAGGCGCTTCGCCCACATAGAGCATCTTGTTTATCTACTCTTGATGACATGCACCAGCCTTCCTACATCGGCCGTGCACCCCCCCCCCCCCCCCCCCCCCACACCCCACGCTACGCCCCTGGTCAAGGACCGAATGTGGCATGCACCGACCGCTTACCCGGGAGCAAACTCGGGTGGTGGTGTAACCGGAGGTCGCGACTCCTTTCTTGAACGTTCCGCTGGTGTGAGGCCGCTGAACGATTCGTAGGGTAGTCGATGTGACACGGGGCTCTCGTCATCCCGGAACCCGGTGCCTCCATCGCGTGGGCGGCTGTGTAAGATGTGTGTGGACGGAGTGGGTTGACGTACACATACAAAGACACACGCACGCATGCACACACATACACATGTACACACACATGCATGTTAAGTTTGCATAAACGATCACACGCGCACGCACACACACACACACCCGTGTACGCACGCACGCACACACGCACACACACGTACGCACATACACACACACACACTTCACGCACGTTTCCTTCTACACATACCGTGAAGCGGTGTGCGTGGCATCTCGGTCGTCGCGGCGATACGACGAATCGTCTCGTCTGTCCACGTGCGCCGCCAAACGGTCGTCATGACTCCTCGCGCCTCCACGCTGTCGCCCACCACCAGCACCACCACCATGGCCGTTCTCTCTGGAGAGCGTGGTCCGTGTGTTTGTGTGGTGACGGTCGTCAATTGTCGCGTCCCTGTGATGCCCGTCTCCAAAAGCGGCACCACCACCACCGCCGTCGCGAGTCTGGCGGAAATCGTAATCGATGATGCCGCCGCGGGAGGCCAGGGGCGACTCGCGGCCGTTGGAACGAGCTCCGCAACTGGACCTAGTCCTGCCAGACGGATAAGAAATGCACAAACACCAAAGCGTGTTCTTCCGAGCTTCTGGGCGCTTCAGAAGCAAGTTGGATTGGAATCTTTTAAAGACTTCTGGACACACGTGACAGATTTCAACAGGAGCAAGAAGGAGGGGATGAGCAGATGCAATCAGTGATGAGGTTGGGAAAACTACCACATGGCGCAGATCACGGTATCTCCCCCGATAAGGATCCCTTTACTTTTGGAGAGTCCTTCAAATAACGTCTAAAGGAAGGAAATGAACGTGAAAAGGGTGCTCAGAAGGTTTTACTATTTGAGGTTTTGACTTTCGAGCCACAATGCTCTTGTGTGTGCGTGTAGCTCCTCCAGCTTTCATAGAAATCTGGGTTTCACTTCAAATGCTGTTGTGGTGGTTTTTGCGTGCTGTATTTAGCTACACATGTTGGCAAGTTCAACGAACTTCAAACGTGTTCTCTCCATTTTAGTCAAGTGCAGCTAAACACCCTTTTCACGCGCACTGCAACCAAAAATAATAGCTTTCCAGAGAGTGGTTGTTTGTAAGAACTGGCTGGAGCATAGATCACAAGACAAATTTAGTATTTTTGAATACTGTGAATTTACTCAATGGCATCATATTGGTTGTTCGACACGTCCTTCACAATAGAGTTCGCTAATGTCACCTACCCATCTCTATGGCCGTTCTGTCTGTGCCCGTCCGCCGCACGGTCTCTCGGCTCCGGCGATCTCGAATACGCCCGATGATCGTGACCGGATTGTCCTCCTCGGCTGCTGCCATTATTACCATGGTAACGACCACTGTCACGCCGGTGATCGTCGTCATCACGTCGGCCGTTGTCATGGTGATGCGGCTGCTGCCCAGAGTATCGACGCGGTGGTGATCGACCGTCCCGGTTGTTGTCGTAGCGATCGTCGTACGCGTCGCCGCCGCGAGGATAGCGTCGATCCCTCTCGTCCGGCGACCGCGACGACTTGCGCCTGCCAACCCGCCTGTCGTCATGGTAGCGATCCCCATCGTCACGACGACCACGACCCGACGACGGCGCGTCGAACTCGTCCGGCGGATACCTGTGCCCGGTGGTGCCGCCACGACCGTCGTCGTGGTAACCGCGCGCATCGTCCCAGTGATACCGACGATCGCGGGGACTCGGCGAGCGTCGTCTCTGCTGCGGTGAGTGGCGTCGGTGATGCTGATGACGTTGAGTAGGCGGACTGTCAGCCATCGCGTGTCTTTGACTGTCAGGGGAGTAGCGCTGCTGCTGGTAACGTCGATCGCTATGATGGGGGATAGGAGGCGGCGATTGCCGACTATGATGGTGCTGATGCTGATGATGATGGTCGGACGGTGGCGGTGACGAGCGTTGCCGTCGGTGATTCGTTGCGGCACGCACGGACTCCGGCGAGATTCCGCCGTCGACGTCGTCCACCGCGGACGAGCGGTTCTGCAGGGTGCTTGCAATCGTCATGGAGTATCCCTCGCCGCCGCTGATGGTACGACGAAGCGCCCCGCCACCACTACCACCACCGTTGGCGCCGTGTCTCGGCGATGACGTCATAGAGATGCTGGCATGATGCTGTGCCGACGTCATGGTGCCGTGACCCGGGGGGAATCCCGTACCGTGCGGGCCGCCGCCGGTGGCCGCCCCCATGGGGGGAAGTCCCTTCCGCAGGGTGTCCGTGTCCTCGGCCATCATGTCGCCGTCGTGGAACATGGTCGGCCGGCCGTGGCGCTGCGGCTGGACGATGGGAAACGACGGGGGCGAGTCGACGACGCTCTCGCTCAGTATGGCCGACATTGTCAGGTGCTGCTGCTTCTGTAGATGGTGGTGATGCTGCTGCTGCTGCTGGTGGTGATGGAGGTCAGAGTGGTTGTTACTGCCCATGACGTGAGGGTTACGGCGGAAATGTTGCGGAGTGCTCGACGCATCTACAAGGTGCGAACGCAGGGAGAAAGGAGAGGTTTACTGCGAGCACAGAAGTGACAGACTCTTGGGCCAACACAGACACAGCCCAGATTCTCCAGTCAGGCAGGAGGGTAAGGCTGTGTTTACATGAGAAATTTCAACCCGGGTCGAGTTCAGCCCGGGTTGAAAGTCTGTACGACAAACAAAAGAGGTGAGCGTTTACATGAAGACAGTTGACCCGGGTCAAATACTGATATGCCGCCAAAAGTCCACTTCTACAGTCCTGTATGGTCACGTGAATCCGTTCGCGCGAAATTTGCATCTGCAGTGCTGTTCAAACCTGGCGCGAGATACGCACAGAAGTACGTTTGTACGATTTTCTTGACCCGGGTTGATTTCAACCCTCCCCTTGGGGGGAGGGTTGAAATCAACCCGGGGCGAAATTTCAACCCGGGTCAAGCGCAATGCGTCATGTAAACGCGCCATTCACTTTGTGCACATGGCGGGTTGAAATCTGACCCGGGTCGAACTCAACCCGGGTTGAAACGCTTCATGTAAACACAGCCTAAGGCAGGCAATGCAAATGTAGCACACTCGCGCCATGCACCAGGGATGAATTTATCCGGTATCGCATCGCAGTTTGCTACGCAAAATCGATCTACTGCTACTCAAAAATCACAGTGACACGCAGAAAACTGCCATACATACATGGACAGGCTATCCATGCTTTTTGTAGCTTACGCCACAATTGAGATTTTGCATAGCAAAAACTGCTATGCAAAAACCCGACAGTAAATTCATCCCTGTGCACTCATTTCATCCAGTTCTCGTTTATTGTGCGAAATAAAGTAAACCAACCAACCAACCTACCAACCAACCAACCAACCTACCAACCAACCAACCAACCAACCAACCAACCAACCAACCAACCTACCAGTCACACTATCACAAAACACACATGTAGGAACGCACGCGCGCACGCGCATGCATCCACCCACCCACCCACCCCACCCGCACACGCACCCACGCGCGCACGCACACACGCACACACACACACACATGGACCTGTACCTGAGCTCAGACTGCGCATGCTGATCGCCGACATTTCCTGCATCCAAGCCGCCGGCTGCTGCTGCTGTTGCTGCTGCTGCTGCTGCTGCAGTTGTTGCTGTTGTTGTTGGTGAAATTGATGAGGATGCCCAACGTCTGAATGTTGTTGTTGATGTGCTATTTGTTGAGCATTACCTCCGTTAGCTGGTGGCGGGGAGAGCGCTACACCGGAGTCGACCGTGGAGCGAGAGCCGTTAGACGGATGGCTATGATGCTGCTGGTGCTGCTGGTGCTGCTGCTGTTGATTGGAATGGTTAGGTTGTGGACCTGCAGTGCGGAGTGGAATACGCACAGAACACCGGTAAGTAAAGTCTCGGAGGCGCTTTGGATTCCAAGTGAAAACGTTGAGTCAAATTCAAAGCCCGCAAGAGTTCACACACTGGACATCACTTGAAATGTTCACCAAATTTTCGGGCTCATGATGGGCCAGGCCCAAACACTTGGTGAATACTTCAAGTGACGTCAGGGAGTTTTCTAGAACCGCCCCAACCGGTTTTCGACCGGTTGAAATTGTTGGCGACCGGTTGAAAAGTTACAAATCAGTTCCAACCGCCCGTACTTTTCTGTGGGTGAATGGAGCTGTGAATGGTCAAACGCTTTTTTCTGGACGGATACTTCCAGCGAAGCCGCGTGGGCTGGTACTAGGGTCACGAGTTTGTACGGTCGAACCGCGTCATTGAGCTGTAGCAACGGCGTTGCTACAGTCCAGCACCAAGAAATCTGTTAAATTGCTGTCGAGTGCCATATTTTGGTTGTATTTTGAAAAAAATTCCACGGGGGACCCCCACTCTTCATTGGACCGTAACCGGTTGGAAATTCGTACTACAATATACCCTGTCACGTGTATGCAGCAAAGAGACCATGTTTGAGTGTTTGAGTTGAGGTCTCTTGATAATGAGTAAATGACTGCAATGGAGTATGCGGGTGCTTAGACAAGTTTCTCATGTGAATTGGTACAGTAAGAAAGAACAAGCATGACTTGTGTGTATATTAGGGGTGAAAGTTGGCACTGAGATCCCGCGTTCGAGTACTCTGATTTTCTCCGATCGAATATTCGAGTATTCGAGTAGTATTCGAGTATTCTTCATCTCCTAAAAATTGCACACCGAGGGCCTTTTAACATCACATGATACAACCCTGATTGAACCGAAAGGCAGTCATTTTTCTCTGTTATATTGGTTGCTGGGTCATTTGGGCTCTCTCTCTACTCGTGAACAAATGTTCACCACACAGTCTGCACATCAATATCTGCCGACTGCTGCTCTGAAACTGCAGATTTCTGTGGTAAATGCATGTACCACGTATGAACGAGTACTCTGATTTATTCCGAGTACGATTATTTCTGAAAAAACCGAGCGAGTACTCGAGTATTCGGTATAATTGTTTCACCCCTAGTGTATAGCAGCGCGGGGTTCATTTACTTCAATAATACAGGGAAACCTGTCTAAGACGACCGCTCAAGGGACCTTCACACGGTGGTCTCTGTTACCAGGTGGTCTCCTTATCCAGGGTCATTCGACTGGAAATAGCATCCCTTGATCCTGGTTTTAGTGGTCTTCTAGGACAGGTCGTCGCCATATCCGAGTGGTTGCCTTGACAGGTTTTATTGTATATAACCGAGGACAGCGTGTGCACATCGTACAAGAAATTCTATGCAACATGCACGTGTGTTCACTTCAAAGACTTCCGTCTCCCACAGCCTTCACACCAAGAGCAGAAGGTAGACAAGAACAGTACCGCTGGCTGTCGTACAGCTCAACAGCCGCATCCTCTCGGCGCTTACCTGAGCCGGGTAGAATTCTCCCGCTTCTCGTCCTGCACCACCGCCGTGTACACCAACAACATACCAAAAAGCGTACAATTGTTACCATAGCAACATACACAGACAGTCATAGACATAAGAAAAGAGGATCAAAGAGCTACAAGTTACGATTATAATATCCACCAACACCACCAGTTACTTTACAATCGCTGAATAAGCTTATATGTGGTGTTAGTGGGTATTATAGCGTAACTTGTCACTCTTACTTTTTTTTATTTACTTTACTTGTCACTCTGTGGTCCTCTTTTCTTCTTATAAATTGGCTCTCCTTGGCTCTCCACCCGAGTCTAGTCATAGATGTAATTGTGTGTTCACACAATCGCATGCACACCTGGTATCATATAATAATAATAATCAGGCATGGTGGAGGTCTGCCACAAGCGAAACTTCCCAAGCTGGTCGCGTTTCAAAACACATTCGTATAGCTGGGGTAATGCGGACCTGCGGACCTTACTTTTTTTCTTTCTTTTTTTGACACCCACTCACTCCTTGTCCAGGGTCATTGGTCTGGGAAGAACACCCCTTGGTCTTAATAGTAGCGATGCCTCTAGGCCCAGCTTGCGCCGGCAAGTAACATGTTTGTTTGTTTGTATACTTTATTTGAATTCGCAAATCCAAACGAGCACAAATGCTCAATGACAAGACAGCGAATATGTTATTATGTTACAGGGAAGGAGGGTCGGGGAGAAAATGAGGACATGCAGCTACAGTGCAGCGTAGGTGGTACATGACTGTACTCTCAATCTGCATGCACATGTATGATGCAAGTAACCACACGCAGGGTGGAAGCTAACGGGACATGTACACAGACGTCCTTTTTTTTTGTGCTAATCAAAAATCAAAGATTGCTACACGAGATTAAGTATAGCAAAAACTGCTATGCAAAAAGCTACAAAGAAGTAATTCTCCGGCACAAATGGTGTTCGTTATATCAGGAGTCGACTGTACAGTCAGATCTCGCTTATCCAGTCGTCTTTTATCCGGGTCCCTCGCAATCCGGAAGAAAATCACTGGTCACCGATTTACAGCATATGCCATGCATACATACAGTAATATGTGTGTTCGGTTATCCGGTTCCCTCGCCTATCCGGATATTTTTTTGTGGAAAACGGATGTGTGCGGTTATGCGAGGTCTGACTATAATATTATGTCATTCGGATGTGTATTAAACACACTACAAACAAGTGAGCAGCGTACCTTTCCACTGGCTGTGACTCCACACTGGCTGAGACCTGCGCCGGGTGTGGAGCATGCTGTGCAGCAGCCGCTGCCGCTTTCTCCTTGTCTTTCCGACCACTGCTCATACATGGGGCATTCAAACAAGGCAAGAAAGCGGCATTTTTAAGCAACGTCTGTGCAGCTCAAACCAACACTATAATCTGAGGTCATACGTTTCTAAACATGCTCTCCTCATCTGACGCAGGGCAGTGCAAATCAAGGACAAGCTGAGATGAGGAAAGAATGGAGGACAGGAGAAGCACAAGGGGATCTGAAAAGAATGGTTCAACCGGTAACTATTATGGAGAACATGGAGGCAATATCGATCCACTGTGAATCTATCTATGAATATCTACAAGTGGAGGAAACGTCATGAAATGCTGTATTTTCCGCAGCAATAGCCGCAGTTTAAACACTTCTAATTGACCAGAAAAAAGGTCAGTGCGGATTATACGATGATCAAATGAATGGTGATATGCAGGGTGGATGTGTATATTTCGTGACAAAACATCTGGATGAGTTTTATACGGTACGGTAAATACGATACCTGAGACGTGCTCGAGTGTTGCGCAGAAAACCTCCCTTCTTGGCTTGTCGAGCGGCGGCAGCTGGTGGTGCTCCAGCAATGCCAGTCTCCTGTCTCCTGCGGTCGTGTCGGTCAGGATGAGAGAGAGAGAGAGAGAGAGAGAGAGAGAGAGAGAGTGTGCGTGTGTGAGTGTGTGTGTGTGTGTGTGTGTGTGAGTGTGAGTGTGTGTGTGTGTGTGTGTGTGTGTGTGTGTGTGTGTGTGTGTGTGTGTGTGTGTGTGTGTGTGTGTGTGAGAGAGAGTGTGTGTGTGTGAGAGCGAGAGTGTGTGTGTGTGTGTGTGTGCGTGCGTGTGCGTGTGAGAGAGAGTGCGTGAGAAAAAAAGATAGATGAAGAGGGAGGGAGAGAGAGAGAGGGGGGGGGGGGGAGGGGAGGGAGAGAAAAGGTTAATTTGCATTCATTGTGTGACAATCGCCATGCGCACAGAAGTACACGAGTTGAAGTATAAACTCTCCCAGCCTCGCAGCAGCAGCAGCAGCAGCAGCAGCAGCAGCAGCAGCAGCAACAGCAGCAGCAGCAGCAACAGCAGCAGCAGCAGCAGCAGCAGCAACAGCAGCAGCAGCAGCAGCAGCAGCAACAGCATCAACAGCAGCACCATCAGCTACTGCAGTACATGTCTAGAAGCAGCAGCAGCAACACACGGCACGGTACTCACGTTGTGTAGAAGGCGTGCGCGTCGACCGCACACTGCCACACGTACTTGCAATGCTTCTCTGAGCCGGTCAGAAACGCAAACGGTTTCTCCTTCACTTCGTCCTACACATGGTAACGAAATAGGAGGACAGACGAACATAATGAAAATTAACTATACGAAAACACACCAAGTCGACAGACTACATGACGCAGGACCTTCCATCATGCACTGTTGCAAATCTACCTGCCGGCAATCTGACATATTTATGTGCATTACTGCTCAATGAAATCCAGTCACAGTGTCAGTCAAGCACAGCGGGCGTAGCACAGCCCTTGACCTGCGAACACCAGGCAGTGAAATGATGCACGGCGCAAACTTGAGTGACGCGACTGGCTTTCACCGGGCTGCACTGTAGTATAGGGCGTTTTTCCTTGAACAGAAACACTCACAACTTTTCCGTCCACCTCTCTCCTGATGAACCCACACTCTCACTCCCGGGGATTGTAGTCAGGGGCATCGCACACGCTACGGTCGTCACGGTGATATTGACTATACCACTCCTTGCAACAGGCACTCTGTGAAGCCCCCCCCCTACCTTGGACTCTAAATTTCAGCAAAGCTACCCCCCCCCCCCCCCCACTCCACCAGTAAATTTTACTTCGGCTGGCAGACCAAACCAGCCTAAGATATCTTTCGAAAACCCTGAGGTTTGGAATGAATAGGACAACACACAACTCCGATGCTCACCTGAACTCTGTCCAGCTGACGAATAGTGAACTTGCGGCCTTTGTATGTGATGCGTGTAATCTTTGACCTAAAGTGTCAAGCACGCACACACATGCACGCACACACACACCGGCACACACAAAACACACAAACATGTGTATGTGCGTACACATACACACACACGCGCGCGCGCACACGCACACACACACAAACACACATAAACACACACACATATGCGTCGTACACACACACTTGAAAGAATCAGAAAGCGGTTCGGCCGTAACTCTGAGTTTCAGGTTTTTAGAGGATCATCAGATAGTCCATAGTTATACAGAGTATGCTATCAAGGGTATTCTAATTTCAGAAATTTTAGGTGCTCAATATTTTCGGTGTGAGGGCAAAAGGTGAACAGAAATTTCAGGTACAGAGAAGCAGTTCCCTATTGGATTATGTGTGTTAGTGTTTGTTCGGTGTATTGAAATTTTAGGTATGAAACAGACTCACCGAAAGTACCGAAAATAAAAGTACACCGAAAATTGGTGAAATTACAGTATTCAACACAGGACATACGACAGTGCAGTTGTCTAGATAGTGCACAATGCAATACAGTGATCATACAGCAATGACACCACCAAGTCCTTTTCCGCCGCATGCTGTCTGACGAGTGTTTCACACGAAACTCTGAGTAACGGCGGAAAGAGACTAGGTTGTGTCATTGCTGTGTGATCATTGTGATACTGGCTCTGTCCACTGGACCTTAGAGCTGCACTATATGCAGCCTGAAGACCTTAGACAATTGTTTAGTGCATAATGTACACGATTACTCCTCCCGCTACTGCATCAGCCTCTTGTACTGGCAAGCAAAAACGCAATACATCAAAAATTTAATTAGAATGAAAAGAGAGGAAAATGAACACAAAGTGCACTGGAACTCAATGAAAAGGAACGCATAGGGCAGTGGAACACAATGAGCATGGGTCCACCAATCGGAGAAGACCTCGTAGAGAAAATTACCAAAACCCAAACAAACAAGAACAATATAACCCCTCCCGCTACTGTATTATCACACCTCTCTCCACTTAGATATACCAGCGCTGCCTCCTATTCCACTGTCGTTGTCTGATGATTGGTTCAGCCATGAAACTCTGAGTCACAACGGAATTTGTTTGCCAAGGTTTTTATTGTGTGCCTTCGCGTAGTGCACAATGTATAATATCTTTATATCACCATGGTAACGTACCACAGAAAGCATGCCACCTGCTGGTGTTCACGTAGGATGCGAATACAGCTCGGCGTCAAGGCGATCGTCAGCCGAACACCTTTCGATCCCTGTACACACACACGTACGCACGCACGCGCACACACGCACGCACGCACACACACACACAAGGAGAAGACGATGCTCCATCAGTGAGTCTTAAGACATCCTTCAAAGCGGTGAACCCCTTGATAGGCGACAAGCCTCTGGGTCATCCTAATAAAGATATTATTATTATTAAGACTCCCATATGTACATGACACAATAGCCGCACTTGAATGTACCGCGCAAGTCCGCTGCAAACGCCCACTTCGCAGCAAACGCCCACCCCAGCGGGTCCATACAGTCGACCTACCCTTATAACGATAACCTCTATAACGATATTACCCTTATAACGATATTTTTCTGGCAAACCAAATCACTCCATTGATTTGTGTATACAATGCCTTATCTCTATAACAATATTGCTATAACGATATTACCCCTATAACGATATAAAATGGGCTGACCAATCGACATTTTCCATTTTATAACAATATCTAGCAGGGAATATGTAGAGCCTACTATCCAGGTAGGGCAAGCTTCACTTGATAAGTCGTTGGGACATGGCGAAATGCAATGGGGCACCAGTTGGCACCTTGCTGTGCACATAATGTGCATGTATGTCAGTTTTTTATGCTATGAAGAGTGTAAAAAAGAACAAAATCCATGAATTATGACGTATGTGTATGAAATGAACCAGTTACCCCTATAACAATATTACCCTTATAACAATATTTCTTGGCGTGACGCAAATATCGTTATAAGGGTAGGTCGACTGTACTATTTTCGTCTATTTCAGGTCAATATAGTTGTAAAAAAACTGGCATGAAGGTCGAATGCGTACGAAAACAAGTGTAATACCTACAAACTGCCTATGTCCTACCAGGAAGCTGTGCAAAAGCGATTGTCATTATCTTGCTGCAAAGAGAAACTTCTGTCGAGATTTCCTTTCATTCGATAAAAGAGTCGTATTTGTGGTAGTTCGCTCTCCACGTGGTAATGCCGTCGAATCCATCTGGTTTTCATGAAATTTCTGCAGTGCCAATGATGTCGCGCTTTCAGAACGGAACAGTGATTGTTCTGACGAAGCGTCAGTCAACGACTTGACTGGTCGCAGTATTGCAGTTGCAAGTCGAACAGGGCATGTCACAGAAGCTACACCTACAAAGTCGCTGCTAACTTGTTGAAACTCTGAAATGCTCGAGAAGAACACTTGCCTTTGAGCGTGGTGTGATTTCAAAATGATGGCTTGAAGCATCGTCAGAAGTGTATTTGGTTCCTGGCTGACGTCCTGCAATACTCCGTTCTTTGCTACCTTGTTATTCGGAAGAAACACCCGTTTGATTTTGCGTAATAAAACAACCATCATCATAAAATCACTACGAGCTAGCTCGTGGCTAGTGCCCCAAAACCAGGAAAGTGGACATAGTTCACCGTAGCAAAGCGCTCTTCGCGCTACGGTGTGAGATGCACTTTCGTACAGTAGGGGTGACAGTGCATGGGGTCAGTGTGCACAGGCCAGCAGATCTTGCAAAATGGGGTGGGCGTTTGCAACGGACTTTACGGTAACCGAGACTGACCCGCTTGCAATGGTTGCGCCAGTACACGTGTACCCGGCGGGTTTGAAATCCTAGAGCAGACGCTGCAGTGCTGTAGTCGTGGCGATATTACGGTATGCCACATGGCGGGCTGGAACACTCACCACACTGGCACGCGGTCACTCACCTCCACCACGTGTACATCCGCGCCGTACATATCCAGCAGGCGAATACGGTCGAGGAAAGCCAGCTCCGACTCGGCCGGGGTCATGCCTTGACAACTGAACACATACACAGAGCGCAAACACACACACACACACACACACACACACACACACACACACACACACGCAAACACACACACACACACACACACACGCACACACACACGCACACACACGCACGCACGCACACACAGCACAACAAACATGCAACGTCGTTCACCGAACAGCAAACGTTGTGTTCCCACGTGTGTACCCGCACAGGAGAATGAGAACTCATCTGCAACTCCACCATCTCCCTTGGAGTAGCTAGCTTTTCTTGTTATGTGCTGAAACACCATCACTAGGGTCTCTAGTGTAAAGTAACGTTTGCACGTCCACGTTACAACTGGCTACACAATTGCATTGAGAAAGACAATCAGCGTTAATAGAGAAGTTTCGCTCGTGCCAAGCCATCACCTTGCCTGACTATACCAGGGAGGCAGAAGCAGCGCCATTAACTAACGGCGCAGGTGAGGTGGTAAGTCTCACGACCAATGCCCGATCATGGGGCGAACCTCGTTAGCTGCATCCATGTTGCGCTCACTCCGAGTAGATCTCTAGTGTACTGTGCATTTCGGCAGATTGTTGGATATCATTTCGTCACCAAAAAGAAATGTGCTTCGAAGTACTCACAAGCTTGACTGATGAAGCTGCTCAGCGGAAAACTCCAGGTCACCAGTCTGAGAAAAAGACGTTACGCAACACGCCAAAGCGCCAACACATCACCATGCCAGCACACCAACACACCAATACACAAACACGTCAACACACCAGCACACAAACACGTCAACACACCAGCACACAACATCAACAGCAGAGCGGGTGCTGGAGAATAGCGCGGTGACCTAAAGGGATCGTGACGGGGAAAGCCACTTCAATCAGCTGGGTGGTGTAGACCAGGCTAACAATACTGAGTGGCAGTCAATTCATCAGCCTTTCAAGCTGTTGAATGGTGTAATCCCAGCACAAGTTGCTATGTCTAACATAGCTTGTTCGCTATCATCGCTTCAGTGATGGGCTGATGGGCATGGATAAGTGGAAGTGACAGGGATGATGAGCGGCCATTCGTCAACACGGCATACTATGCTGTGCTCTACAGAGACAAGTTCTTGATTACACTGATGCTTGCCTTCCAAACCAACCTAAGCTAATCGAACCAAAGTGCCAACTCGGTTTTTTTTAAATAATATGTATATTCACTAGACTTTGGCTGCTTAACACCTGGTCTATATACAGCTCAGTTGCTATGCTCCTGTTGCTATGCTCCTGTTGCTGTGCTCCTGTTGCTATGTACATAGTTGCTATGCTCCGGTTGCGAAGAGCCTAAATGATATGCTCCAGTTGCTGAGCACCTATGTTCTAAGCACGGGCTGCTATACCCCGCACACACAGTTAGTTGACTTTTTTGATAGTTAGTTGAGTGTTAACACCTTGCGCTGGTATCTTCTCTATAAAATAGCATTATCCAGCTTAACCCCTTCATTCAACAACTGCTTCTCCTCTGAGGAGTTCCCCGTCATCTCTTTACGGAACGAAACAAGACTGGTCAGGAGTAATATACTACTTGCTTTCGTGGAGTGTGGCTGGTGAACTGTTCGTGCTATGGTCTGCAAGCGTCGTGTGGTCTCGTCGGGTCAAATGAAAAACCTATTGCTACATTACAGCACTGTCGGGCACAGAAGAACGAGCAGGCTTAGAATTTCACCCTGGCACAGCATACCAATGCACATGTACACACGGTGACTCCACTGTGCATAGACTGTACTGCATTAAAGTACAGTGATGGCAACTGAAATCCGACCCCCTGAGCGGTGCGGTGCGGTGCGCTCACATCGCAAAGTCCCGACACGGGATAGTAAAACTACGAAATGGAGACCGCTAGAATGTGAACTCATCGCTAGGGGGGTCGGATTTCAGTTGCCAGCACTGCAAGAACGGTCTAGGCTACGAAGCTGCCCCCCCCCCCCCCCCCCCCGTTCTTCGGCGACCGACAGTACTTTAAGCAACCAAACTAGCCATTCCGCTTGCTTACCTGATGGACGACAAACTGATGTACATTTGACTTGGCATAGCCGATGCCATGTTCATTGGGCTCGTAGTCACCAAGTTCAGCTACACGCACGCACACACACAAACACACACAAATACACGTGCACACACACACACACGCACGCACACACACACGCACACGCACGCACACACACACGCACACGCACGCATGCACACACGCACACACACATACACACAAACACACACACGCACGCACACACACACGTACGCACGCACATACACACAAACACACACACACACACACAAATACACGTGCACACACGCACGCACGCACGCACACACACACAAAATCAAAAACACAGCCGCAGCAACGGAGATTCAATAACTGCACTACCAGAAAGTCAACGCT